TCTCTTTCTATAGCTGAAGCTAAAAATAAGGCTGCTAAAGGCTGAAATATGTGTCTTATAGCCTTATACCTCATCTCTAAACAGCTGTTACTTCTAAATCAATGACCAACTTTTCGGTTTCTTTTGACTTTTTTGTTTTGAAGAATGAAAATTATGTATGGCAGGGGCCCAGTATACCCATTCATAAAGTGGCGCTTTCATTCCCCAAACGAGAAAAGGAAACGTTCTTCAAAACAAAGCAAAAAACTGAACCCAGGCTGGGCAATGAAGCCTGTAAGTCATTGCAAAATTTATTGGTTTATGGCTGTTCTGCAGTAGACATTTCTTTTTTGATGTAAAAATAATATATACTCTGAATACTAGTTATAAGCACAACAAATGAAAGAGATAGCAAGATTTAAGCAAAACCATCCAGTGGAATTTATGTTGCACAATAAGAAAAAGACATACCAGGCAGCTTCTCTTTGTGTCTGAATGATAGACTCGCTTATAACAGGAATATTCCCATGCCTCTTACCAGGCAAGCACTCGTGGCTTTAAATTCATTCTTTCAATGTCATACAATTTGTACATAATGGATGTGGAAAACATCATTGTTACACATGTCAAACCTTGGGGACCGTGGAGAGTGTACAGTTTTAGGCAGCAGGCCCAGAATCTGAACCTGAGGAGCCCTTGCAAAGCTTTTGTGGAACTGCTCCTACTAATGGACAGGACCAATGTCACTGCAAATATCAATGAAAACCAAAATTCCTCCCATGCTACAGTCTATGTTACATAAACAGCTGTTCTGCAATGAGGGAAAAAACAGATTAAGGTCTTGCAAACCCTACAGATTTCAAATGCTCAGACAAGGACCAAAAAAATGCGTTCTTGGCACAGCTTAAAAGTCTTTCACCTGCCCTGAATCTTCACTGACATCAATGGGAATTTTTGCACTTGAGGACAACTCTCAACACTACTGAAGGCAATAGCCACTCTCCTATTAATTTGCAAAGGAGTGATCATCAAGTAAAACTAGATTGAACACCTTAGCCATCTCAGCCACCATCTTGTCAATAAACTTCAGCCTTCAGACATCTGTGTGAACTACAGATCAGGTAAACAAGCAAATGCCTCTACCCTGTCATGGTCCTGAATCTTCAATTCATCCAGGAATCTTCCAGCCAGAGATTCACTTTGGCCATCAGTACAAAAATGAACACGAAATTTGTAGAAATCCTTTGGCAACATACTGCTCCACTGAGTATGTAAATGCTCTCCTAGGGCTAGCAGAAGTGTACATTACCAAAACTGATAATGTAGTGATTAAACAACTAGTTAGCAAAGTGCTTATGATAGAAAATGAATACCAAACTGCAGATCAGAAATGTTGCCTCCAGGAAACTGAAAACACATTTCTTGTGAAACAACCAGAATTATAATATTGTTCCTTTTTCTCAGTGTGCATGTTACCTTCTGTAGACATCTCTGGACATCATCTGAGCAGGAGGAAGTCATCTTCACATGCTAATTTTAACACACCCAGCAAACTGATCATTGGTTAATTATTTTTCTTTGCAGAGCAGTGTGGAGAAGGCTTGCTTCTGCCTATTGCACTTCTGCCTCATGCCACTACTTTTACAGCCCTTTCTTCGTAAGTTGAGTGAGTTGTAACTAAAGAAACCAAATAGGGAAAAGCCAACACAACACAACTGTGTAGTTTCTGCACAGATGGAAAAAGTGGAGAACCACCAGTGGACTAGTGGAGAATCACTTCATAATGACCCCAGCACATGGCAGAAAGAACCAACCCTGCTCCTCCAAGGTATTCCCTCAGAGCTAGACCAAAGGCATGTGTCATTTTATCACTACAGGACACACCAAGATCATAAAGACAGTGTGCAACCCTTCTTCAAGAGGTCTGCCTGCCTCGCATAGTCATTCACTTGGCCGATGCTTTCGTCTTGTGTCCCTTCCCCATCCATCATATCTTATGCCTCATATACCTGATGTCAAATGAAGAGGATGCCCTGTTTCTTCTCCTAAAACCCTCCAGACATCCCAGATAGCCTTTCAGTGAGGACTGTTCATAGGTGTGGCACACTTCCCAATGAAGATCCCAGCTCTTCCCAGAAACCTAGCAGTTAGGTTCATTATGATCATGTGTCCACCCCTTGTGGAATATGCCTTTTAAGAAGAGAATCTATTCCACTATCACTTGTCCAAATTCATGTGGGGTTGTCCCAATCCTTTTCATTAAAATCCTGACCCAGCTCATTACCTGATTAGAGTTCATCACCTGAACTCTGGTGCCTGAAACGTACCCTGGAATAGGAAGCAAGCTGCACTGAATACAGACAGGTCTGTGCAGGGTGAAGTGCCCAGATAATCCTTATCTCCCTAACCCCATTAACTGTTGAAATCCAGGAACAACTGAAAAATCAGTTCCACTGAAAGAGGCCTCCATTCCTTACTTTTTCCTGACAAGAACAGCACCTGAATTTTCGTCTAAAACCACTTGCTCAAATTACCTCAACATTGCTTTAAAAATAATAAAACTTTTAAAATCTCAAATTGTGTTCTGAAAGTAACAAACAGAGGTCAGTATTATAAATGTTGAGGAAAGCCAACAAGGAACTGAGAAAAGTATTTGGAAAATCAAAATAGCAGCATTTTTCAAACTGTTTTACCCTGGACTGCTGAAACCAGACACGAAGTAGTACCATAGGGTACCTCACTGGTGTAAACATTTGGGCCAAGATTTCAATTTGAGCAAGTGGGTCCAGCATAGATTTTAGACATCTCTGCACTTTGAACAATGCTTGAAATTAATTTCAGGATGTAGAAGCCTAGAAGACAAGGGACTAATGTGCGACTTTAGTCACTCCTTTCAGTCATGAGAATCTATGGATCTTGGGTGCTCCCGTACCCCTAAGGGTGAGACACGACACAGGACTAAGGCTGGACACATTAAAATGAAAGTTCACAACAGCATATTAGAAACCTCTTAAAAAAAATGATCTCGATTTAGCTAGGCATAAATATTTGCACTCCTCTTTGAATGGGCACTTGCCTTGAAATTAAATATTCATAGGTAACCATCCATGCTTATTCATTTTATTTTAATATTAAACCACACTATGCAATGTGGTAACTTCAGTGAATATTAGCATCGGGATTTAAGGAAAAATATTATAGTTTTATTACAGAGAAGCAATAAACAGTAATTTTCATAAATTTTATGAACACAGTGAATGCTCAAAGAAGACTGGAGTGTGATTTTCCTGCTTTGAGTAATTTTAGTTTATTATCTACTTGGAGTTATTTAAAAATGCTGATATTAAGGGGGTAGGAGAGGTAGGAGGGCAAGGATACCAAATAATAAAAGATGTATGTGAGTGTGATGTGGGTGCATGTACTTTCATGCTTACAGGTATGTAGACTAAATATCCATAAGAATTAATCTAAAGTACCGTGAGGGCAAGGGATTTGGACACACAGCAAGCTGCAGTCAGGATTATCACCTTTGGAATTTGGAAGCCAAAAAAGTAAACCAAATATGCATCAGTCTAGTCTGGGTAGCAGCCTGAAATTAGGTATATTATATAGGTGTCCTACCAGAGAAACCAAGGCGAGCCTGGAGAACAGCAATTCTTTGTGCACTCAGCACATGAATCGAACATGAAGGGATAGTTTGTGTGGGAGCACTGAGCTCCCATTGATTAATTAAGAACTAATCTTCCTAATTTTAAAAAGAGCACACACACACTGTCCTTTGCAAGTAGGATATTTGTGGATTATTTTGCCATTCCTTGAATTAACAAGCCACTGCATAATTCTAGAGATGGGGACAAAACAAGGTATCAACCTTAGCAGACTGGATTTTTGGTGCAATTCCAGCCTGCTTTTAGATTCCCTAACTGGCTGAGGTAGACCCAGAGCAATAAAATCCCAGTGCCTGAGGCCCTTCAGCATGGAAGGGGCATTTGTGTGCATGGCTCCAAGTATTTGCCATTCACAGTTTAACCCTTGACAAGCTTTTTCCAATTGTCTCAATTATGGGGGCCAAATTAAAATCCAGGAGTGAAGCTCTTCACAGCAAGTTCCAGCTGGTTTCAGTTTGCCCAACCACTTTTCTCTCAGGAGAAGTACAGCTCTGAATCTAGGTTAAGAATAGCCACTTCAATCTGTATGTATAAATATTAAAAAGAGGGGAAAAAAAAGTCCTGAAAACTTAATGCCTTTTTTAGGGAAACAGCAGACCTACAGTAATTTGTAGTTGGATCTAATATACCTGATCCTACTCCCAAAAGAAAGTCAATGGTCCTCTTAGAAATGGGATTGCACCCTAAGTAACCTCTGATGGTCAAGGCCAAATAAAGAAAGAAATAAAAATCCTTTCATCTACTGAATCAATCATTCTTCTTCCCACTACAGAAACCCTAGTGTGATCCAAATTCTCTTACAGGATTAAGAAACACACAATACCTCATTTTCTACATTTATGTTCTCCTGCAGTCCATTGGTCTCAGCACTCTGAAACTGGTGATGATTTATACCCCAAAGCAAACACCTTCTGTACACAAGGCATGGACACTGAGCACACAAAGACCAGAATTTGAAAAATCAACCTGGTATTCAGTTTAGTAGGCAGAAGGTGTTTAAGTTCACTAAGAGCAATCCTCTCCTCTCCTCTCCTCTC